TTAAGTGTTAAAGAAAGTATAAATATACTTTTTTACAACGTGTTATGTTTCTAATTTATAATTGTGCAACTGTATTATTTAATGTTGTGTAAACAGGTGCGGACTTAGTTTTTCCAGGAGTTAATAACCATATTCCTCAACGTCGTATAAGCAGGCATGAATTTAGGGAGCCAAACCCCCTCCATCCATTTTATTTATAAACTGATAAAAAAAAGACATCAAGACTTCCTTACACTACCGCGCAGTATCAAAAACAAACATTTGATATCACTGTTTTTGTTTGATTGGGCTCTACAGCAACACAGTTAAGGCATCAGCCAATTATAGTTTATTTCTAAGCTAATACAACAATGTGAACATCAATTAAACTTGTTAGCAAGGTCCATTTTCGTGGCTTGACTTTTTCCAAACACTCTAGCAATGTGACTAGATATATACTAACGTCTTGTGACAAATATAATTATAACGTGTTTAGTTTGTGTTTGTGTTTGTTATGGATTTCACGCAAAGCTACACGAGGGCTATCTGCGCTAGCCATCCCTAATTTAGCAGTGTAAGACTAGAGGGAAAGCAGTTAGTCATCACCACCCACCGGCAACTCTTGGACTACTCTTTTACCAACGAATAGTGGGATTGACCGTCACATTATAACGCCCCCACGGCTGAAAGGGCGAGCATGTTTGGTGTGACGAGGATTCGAACCCGTGACTCACAGACTGCGAGTCGAGCGCCCTAACCACCTGGCTATGCCGGGCCCTAATGTGTCTAGACGCTAAATTTTTGTTTCCATCAAAGTTAATATTGTTTAGGACACCCGCAGCTCTTAAAACATATATATATGCGTTTCTAGATATTTGTTAATGTCTTGTGACAAGTATAATTAAAACACAGACTACTTACGGAAGCGACTTTTCCTTGTTTAGAAGCTAAAAGATTCTCGAGAAAGATGTTTTTCGTAGTGTTGATGTATAAAGTAAATGAAAATACAAGTGATATAACTGTATAACTAATGACTTTTTAACAACTTTTGAGAACAAGCACCCTATTTACCAATGCTGTATATATTTTTTTTCCATATACGATTCTAAATAATTATAATTATGTAATTTTAATTAAAGGTATAAACTTTGAAATCACTGGATTATAGCCTGAATAAACTACTCATTTGCAGAATATATTAATGTTATTGTCATTTTGTTTTACTTACTTAGGTTACTTTAGAATTATATGGTCAAGACTGGTTAATCCCAAACACCATATTATTATAGTGGAAGTCTCTTATCTCATGATAGAAATACTGAAAATACAGTCACGAAGTTAGATGACTAACTTTTAAAAAGTTAAATTTTACATAACAGACTTAAACATTTAAGTAACTTAAAGATTGTTACTTGCCAACACTATAATACTTTATCATCTAAATATATTTTATTGCAGCTACTGTGGAGAAGTTACACATTGTTACTTGCCAACACCATAATATTTTATCATCTAAATATACTTTCTAGTTTTATTCTTATTCATTCTCTAATAGTTTTCAAACATTGTAAAATAAAGTTATAACTATAAAAAGTTGTATTATACAAAATACATTGACGTTATTTAATTATTATGTTGTTTGACTTTCAATTTAATCTACTTGAAGAATATCAAAAAATATTAGGTTTTTACTTTGGCTAAGTGCTCTTTTGCCTGGTATATAAAATTTGTTATGATTTCCATTTCCTTTGGTTGGTTAAAAAGCGTTAGTGCAACTGCGTAGTTATAAGTACAACACTTAAGGCTCTAACATTGTCGTAAATACGCTTATAAACATTTAAAACAATACTAAATTGTCTGAAACTTAGTTAAAATCGCATAGGCGACGAAAATGTCAAAATTAAATACGATCTGACCAAAAGCGCTAGCTCGAAACGTCATCCTTTCTTAAAAAAAAATATAAAAAAAAACTTGGCGAATGTTCAACCTACTATTTAATTTCGAATCGTCTGGAATAACAAGTTTGGGAATGTGTACACAGTATTGTTCGCAACAGGTGACTGATAAGTAAATAAAATCTTTTGTTGTTTCTAAATGTTAAACAATGCAGTTGCGTTGTCTGTACGTACAAAGTTTAGGACTAAAAAAGTAACTACTTCTAAACCATTGTGTCTGAAGTTTAAAGACAGAGATTTCCTCTGACTTTTCATATTTTTTTACAACTTGATAGAGTGTTTTGAGACATATATATGTCAAAGTCATTTTTATACGTTGATTCAGAAATATTTTAAGATCGATATTTTGTCATTTTCTTACACTTATTTGGTATATTTCACGAAGATTTTTTGCCTTGACACAAAACAACCTTGTCAATTTTAAGAAAAATTCTACCCAATTCCAAAGAATAACTTTATTTTTGCTAAGAACCTTTAACCCCCCATTTGAAAATATATTACCCATTTCTTGATTTTCAAATGTTTCCCCTCATTTCTGTATAGGCCTTGACTGAAATCTTGTTATGGTGCCACATCAAGCAGTTTGATCATTTACTAACAAAACACACCTTCGGAAACAGCTATAAAGAAAGTTTAAATACGATTGGATAGAACAAGAATTAACATTACCAAAGCATAGTAGAGTAAATGAATACGTTTAATAGTTTTTATTTTATTTATAGTTTAAGTAAATGGAACTGAAATTTATTTTGTAGATTGTAAAAATATTTGTGTGTTAAATTATATGAATTAAATTCAATGGGAAGACGTCAGATAACTTGAGATAAGGTAAGTTTATATAATTTAAGTACGGATTGAATGGGTAACAAAAAAAGTTTATTACAAGTTTAACACAACAGCAAATGTATGATGTTTGGAGGTTTTTTTTTTCATCATCAGGTACAAGTAGTTTATCTAGACACAGGAATATATGTATGGTATGAAACGAAGAAGTCACATGATTGAAGATTGCTTAAGGTGTAATAAAGGTATCTTGATATTTGATTCTTTATTTAAAATTACTTGTCATAAATGTAGCGTGGTTTTATTGAGTTGCAATATTTGTAAACTTGAGTTTTTTATTATGTTCACCACATAAAAGTGCAACAAGTTTAATTAATATGGTAGGCGAGTGGAAAATATTACGATGACAAATCTTTATTGAATAATATTTATGCTATTAAAATAACATATATATACAAGTTGGCTAATTGGCTACTTACTTATTTCTAAGTGTAACTGTGGAAGGTTTTAAATATAAACATTGTTATCCTTGTTGGTCATAGTAAAACATTTTTTAATTATTTAATTACCAGTTTGTTTGATTTATAGAAGATCACGTGACCACATGATGGTATTTAGTCAATATTAGCGAGCTCCCCGTTGGTTCTGTTTCAGGTGTGAAGGTTTTAAACGCTAAACCGGATTTTCTTACTCGTGGTAGACACAGGACAGACAACCCATTGTGTAGCTTTGTCATAAATAGAAAACAAACAAACAAAAAAGACACTAGCAAAATGTGAAGATTATCTTTGAAAAAAAATTTGTTGCAAAATTTAGACACAAAATAAGTTTTTCGCGGTAAAGAGCAGTATCTTAATAAATAATACAGTGTTTGAATAAGATTTTTTTTTGCTTGCACGGGGGAGGTGGAAGTGTAGGAGACGTGTCTTATTAGATTAATCGAATGTAATCGATTAACGAGACCGTCAATTAATCAAGTAGTAAATATCACTAATTGCCCGGTTCTAACCACAACCATATTCAATTACCAGACTTGAACCATTGTTCCACTACTGTTTTGTCATAGCATCATTTTTTGATGTATGACTACTTCACCAATCTGGTGCCATGCAAACTCATATTCTTGTCCAAACATGAGGAGATATGGAACAAGGAGTCACCCGTTGCTCAGTTGTGCAGTCATGACATATGTTAGGTACTCATCCCAATCACTTCGATCAGGATTAACAAACTTAGCAAGCACATACTCTACAATCACCACTGCAGTTTTAGGAAACCATTAGAATGAGGATGATATAGTGAAATGTGTGTTTCCACCATTCCCAACATTAGAGACAACTCTGTGAAAAACTGGGTGTTGAAATTAACTCACTGGTTACCTGCTTCATTTTCAGAAAGAGGACCGGCTATGTCGAAGGCGATTCTCTACAAAGGAAAACATACAATTCTCTGTCTGAGTTTCCATTGAGTACAGTGTCTACACTATCGTCAATGTTACGTGAATAAAGCCAGAAAAACCACTTCCACTCATTGGCAATAGTTTGTGACACCTTCTGGCGCCCTTCAGTCCTTGCATTATTGCAAGGATTATATAATTTCTTGCCATAGAACTCTGGAGACCGCAAGCTGCATCATAGGTTGGCTACCACATCTTGGTGGTTTATAAAGATGGTACAATATGCCATTCGTAACTGACTATATAAGCGCCAGGTTTTGTATAAACCAGTACTATGGTTGCTAGTTTGTGGTGTGGGCAAGCTTCATTACTGCAAGGCAAATAGTTAATCTAGGTCTGGGTCCTTTAGTTTCTTTCCTAATCTGTTCCTAAAAGTTCCGAATTAATCATTTGAGATGTCCCTCCATGGTTTGATGTCACTGCTACTTCGATGGCTTTAGCGGCTGCATGGTGTCTAGGATATGAATGCTAAACAAATCAACAGTATTTCATGGGTTGGCAAAATAATCCATTAGCACTTCCATGCTGTTGACTAAGTCATTGTTGCACAACAAAGATGTAGACTTGCACTGTGATTATCCAATGTACAATCATATCTTCTGGGTTTTGAAGTTCATCAACAATTTCTGTGATACATCATTCACTTGAATGGTGAACTCTCTGCTATACAAGCAGTGGTTGTAATTTTTGACAGATATTACAATTGTAAGCAGTTCTTTCTTTGTTGTACTATATCATCATTCAGGAATGCTCTATGTATAACTGGAGTTAATGATCATACACTCTACCCCAGCCGGTACTTTTGACAAAACTGTACCAATTCCATTATGACTGGCATCAGTATTCAGGATGAATGGACAACATTAATGAAGATGAACCAATACTGGTGCTTCAATGAAGGTAGGCTTCAAGTACTGGAATGCATTTTCACATTCCAGTCCCGAGAACAGATTGATAACACTGACATTACTCTCACCATGGCTGGTGAAAACTCTAGGTCCAGAAGATTGCCTCTCCAAGACTTTGCCGTATTCTCGGTCCGAATCCTTACTACCATTGCAGCTTTCTTCTCTCCACCGTACGCTTTACGTGGTATTTTGTAAATCCACTGTACCAGAGAGCAAACAACAAAAGAAGCGAGTTCAAAATAAACTTTACATTAACAAATCCCATGATTACGGCATCAAAATGTCACTTAGGTAAACTGATGTCCATCAGAAAAGCCAAAGGTCTCCACAAAACACAATTTCAGAATGTTCAAACCAAGGATGAATTGAACACGGACGGTAGAGCAAAACAAGCACACACAAATGTAGCTTGAAACACAAACATTCTTATTAAACAAACATACTGGTAGTTCATCTAAACTGTTTGTGCTTCTTCTTCCTGTCATCTGGCTTCTGGATTCGATAAAAATGAAACCAAGTATCACGATAAAATATAAAAGAATCAAGATAAAGAATTAATGAAATATCCGACTTAAATCTCCTAGCAAAACAATGAAAATCGGGTATACCATAAGTCCATAGGCTGCACACTTAAATCAATGTTTTACACACAATATTGATACAAACCATTTGTATGTAGTCCTGTATGGAATAACAGGAATACCTGTTTCCATCTTCATCTGATTAAGATATGCAATGGTTGAAAGATATATCATTGTAGCAACTTGTGTACACATAATTCATGTAGCTTTTATAGTTGAAGATCCTTCTTGTTTACAATGTGTACTGTTGTCTGGGGCGCTGTTTATTTGTTGAATTTCACGCAAAGCTACTTCAGAGTTATTTGTGCTAGCCTTCTTTGATATAGAAGCGATAGACTAGAGGGCTGGTAGCTAGTCAATACCACCCACCGCCAACTCTTTGGCTACTCTATGCCAACGAATAGTGTTACTGATCGACACATTATAACGCCTTCAGATTTGATAGGCCGATCACTTTCGGTTGTGGGATTCAACTCGCGACCCATGGAGTGCCCTAAACACCAGGCCATGGCAGACTACCTGGGACGTGTGATAGCTTTTGACACTGACCTTTGTGTAAGAGTATTCTCACTTGTACGCCATACTTTGCTTACCACAGGTTTACTTCTGGATGGTCGTGGTGCTCCATATTCATTTATTGTACAATGCCATTGAGTATTGCTTACCACAGGTGGAGAAAGAGTTGTTGCAGGGTTACTTCTGGATGGGTCTAGTGCTTCATATTTATTTGTTGTACAATGCCATTTAGTATTGCTTACCACAGGTGGAGAAATAGTTGTTGCAGGGTTACTTCTGGATGGGCCTAGTGCTCCATATTCATTTGTTGTATAATGCCATTGAGTATTACTTACCACAGGTGGAGAAATAGTTGTTGCAGGGTTATTTCTGGATGGTCCTGGTGCTCCATATTCATTTGTTGTACAATGCCGTTGAGTATTGCTTACCACAGGTGGAGAAAGAGTTGTTGCAGGTTTACGTCTGGATGGTCCTGGTGCTCCAAATTCATTGAGTATAAGAGATATCACTGTCTTAAAATTCTATATCCACCAATCTGAACACACCTTTATGATCTGAATATATGAATAATTTGCATGGGAAAGAGCTGTTACTTACTCCTCCTGAAATAGATAAAATTTTGGTGGCATCACACTACCTGAGAAATATCAAATAATATCAATACCTATGCAACGTTTTATCGGCTGTGGTTTTCACGTGATGAATTGCTAATTTTTATATTTTAAATAATTTTAATATGGCGTAGTAAACTCTATGTTTTCTATTGTAGTTATGGAAGAGTGAAATTTATGACTAGTTTAGTCATTACAGAGTCATGATAGCGTAACTATATACTTCTATCTTGGCTGTATTAAACTACCTTGCCTCTAGATATTGATCTATTTAGTTAATTGCTTTCTAAAAACGTATTTAGCTAAGCGTTTTACAATAATGTAATTAGCTAAATGTTCCATGAATATCCATATAGCTAAGATGTTTATAAAGACGTATTTATTTAGGCGTTTTATAAGAGTGTAATTAGCTAAATGTTCCGGGAACGTCTGTGTAGCTGAGAAATATATGTTGGTTATTTCATTGAGAGGTCGCAGACTAGATGTTTCGATTTAATGGGTTTTTGTTTAATTTTGAAGAATAATATAATTTATGTTTTCAGGAGTGGGTGTTTAGCAATGTGTCTCTTGAGAATTTACCTTGGTACACGAGATTAGCTAGAAAAAACCATAATTTTATTTTGTTTGAAATATCAAATGGCAGTTTTTTGTAGATTAATTTAATTGTGCCTATCTGGAATTGGTACTAATGATAGCCACTTGTTGATTTTATATAAGCACATGAAATAAAGTTGCTTTTATTATAAGAAGAGATAACGTGACATTTCAATTTAATAGTAAAGGTTCAATACCTTTACGAATATTGCTTGATATATAATATATGATTCTTCTATCTGGAATTTACTAAAATAACATATTATGATATTCAATTTATTATGAAATTGCATCAACTATATGTCTCCCGGTGGATTTATGGTAAGTTTACGGACTCGCAATACCAAAATCTGATGCTGGCTGTCGCTAAACTACGCACTAGAATATCTGTGCTGTACTCACTACGGGCATCGAAACAACGTTATTTAGCGTTATTAAACCTTCAAACTTACCGCTGAGCCATTTGGGAGGAGGGCGAAATCCGGGGCTCGTTTTTCTATAATGGACAGTGGGAAATAGCTAACTGAACATTTAACTAAATATTAAAATTAAATATTATATGTATGTGTTAAATATTTCTTTTTCATAACATTATTCACATACCTAAATTAATTCAAGTTACTATATGGTGAAATAAAAAGGACCCAAAATCCCATAGATATAACAACTAAATGTGTTTGATTGAAGTTAAATTATCACAAACTTTAGCTCAGTATTAGTTACCTAGTGTCTTTTAGTTAATTAATTGCAAAATTACCTTTCAATCTTCAGTTGTTGCAAATAATAGATTAGAATTAACGTGAATCTTTGAAACATAAATCATCATTTTGAGTATTATTATTATTGTATGAAGTACATTCACTCGTATCAGAGTACAAAGTTAAGTTTTCTTTTTACAAGCGTTCTGTTGTTGTAAGGCCGGTCATTGAAAAGTTTACTGGGCTGAATACTTACATACAACATTTTGAAGTGGCATAATTAGTTCTGGCTTTTATACAAGTGGGCCACAAACTCGACCATGGGTGCACTACCTGATTAATGCCTGTCTGTCTAACAACATGGCTCATGCGCGTCCACACGCACGCAAAAACAACAAACAAACAAAAAAACAGCAAAGTGAATGAACGCCCTCAAAAGACGCTCGAATAACTTCAGACAAGTATAAATACAAGAGGACGACCAGAAAAGAAACAGCAGAGCTTCATCTTTACATCAGTCGATTATGAGTCACAAGGTATGTTCTCATTATATACTCTGATAATAATTAACGTAAATGTGGTTATTCTGTCTTTACTGCCATCTTTTGTCTGATTAATGAACTAATATCAGTTAATATTAAATGTAAGTACTATACCTGTGTTGAAATACATTTTTTCTCAGTTAAATCTCCCAACTTCTTTCTTCAACTTTAGGTAATTGTAATTTGTCAAAAAGTAACCTCTTATTTTTTAGATGTCCGTGGAAAACCTATATACATACATACATATATGTACGCAAATGTTACAAGCTATCTCTTAACATTTAGATATCTTTGTGAAACCCAATATATATATTTTTGTTTTAAATATGACTTTAGAAAGAACCTTTCTGAGTTTCCCTATAATAATCAAACCATATTTCTTAAACTTTTTGAGAGCAGTGTAATGACCATTCAGTTAGATTTTTTATGTCAGGGAAGGTTTGCTAAAATATTGAATAAGATGAATACCGATAACTTCTTAAAGAAACGCGGGAGAAGAGAAATGAGAGTAGCAGAAATGTACTAAATTTTCAAAAGATAAAAACGGAGCTTTCAAAGCTGTTCAAAGTCTTTCGGAATTACAACGAAGACTAGAAGAAGCTCAGCGAAAACCTCAGAAGGAAGAAATCTTAACTCCCTACATCTGTAGGTGTTTAACTAGTCTTTAATTTAGCAATAGGCGACTAGAAAGGTTACGTTATTCTGTAAAATAATTAAGCATCTCTCTCTCTCTCGGTTTAAATTAGAAATAACATATTTTCAAAAATCTGTCTCTCATATTGCCTCGTGACTAAGACTACGCTGTATGTTCTTGCACGTGTTCAGTCTTTACTGAATTAAAACTTATTGCATTAATGCAAAAACACCATGTCTACGTCATATATATATATGCGAAACATTTTACATCTAATCACAGAAAATATATGTTAGTACATCTAATCACAAAAATATGTTAGTCCGTCTAATCACAGAAAATATATGTTAGTACATCTAATCACAAAAATATATGTTAGTACATCTAATCACAAAAAATATATGTTAGTACATCTAATCACAGAAAATTGTAACATCATAGCACACATACTTAGTTACAAAAACACCTCATTGTTATCGTGTGACAAAATATCGTAAAGTGCTCTTTTTATATTAAAGATAACTGCCTGAACTTATTTTAGTATGTTTTCTTTGAAACCATTTCTTAATATGTTTCATATTTTAAATTTTTCCCCCTCTAACATGTACTGTTCTCTCCACAGTGTTTATCTGCTTTGATTTTCAGCGTTTTGCTACTCATAGCATACGCTAAAGAAGGAAGAAAAGCAAGTGGAACCAAAGATAAAGTAACTGGTGATCTTATAGCCCAAGCCACAGGCTATGGTGGCGGCGGAGGTGGTTATGGTGGCGGCGGAGGTGGTTATGGAGGAGGTGGTTATGGTGGCGGCGGAGGTGGTTATGGAGGGGGTGGTTATGGTGGCGGCGGAGGTGGTTATGGTGGCGGCAGAGGAGGAGGCAAGATCCAATTACTTGCTGTTCCCATTTCGCTAGGAATTGGCAGAGGCCATGGTGGGGGCGGTGGTTATGGAGGTGGAGGCCGCGGTTACGGAGGCGGAGGCGGTTATGGTGGTGGTGGTGGCATTACTCTTCTTGGTCTTGTGAGCGGCAAAGGAGGTGGTGGCTATGGTGGTGGCGGTGGCTATGGAGGTGGAAGTAGCGGATATGGAGGTATAAGCAGTGGATATGGTGGTGGAAGTATTGGATATGGTGGAGGAGGCAGTGGATATGGTGGAGGAAGCAGTGGATATGGTGGAGGAGGTAGTGGATATGGTGGAGGAAGTAGTGGATATGGCGGAGGAGGTAGTGGATATGGTGGAGGAAGCAGTGGATATGGCGGAGGGAGTATTGGATATGGCAAAGGGAGTATTGGATATGGCGGAGGAGGCAGTGGATATGGTGGAGGAGGCAGCGGATATGGTGGAGGAGGTATTGGATATGGCAGCAGTGGGCATTAACATAGGTAAGTATTTCGTCTTGAACAGAAAATACTGAAGAATATTGAAATATAACGGTTCTCTAACTCCGTGTTAAAATAACTGATAGCAATTTTACAAGAAATTTGGTTTACTACATAGAAAAATGGTTGTTAAGTATTTTTATTTCTGTCTTTTTATATTTTGTGTGTATTTACTTCTCTATTTATGTCCCTGCGTGATTTTTATCTTTCCCACTATATATGTCGTTTTGTGGTTTCTTTCTCTCTCCTTCTCTATCTGCTTGTCTGTCTTTCACACATTACCTTACATATAAATAAAAATACAGAAAAATATGTTACCGCAATTAACTTTCTTTCATGATCGCTAAAATGTCATCATATCATTCATATGGGATTATATAACATTTTTTTTTGTAATGTTTGTTGACTGATATAAGTGACATTAATTTTTACGATTAGTTTCTCACCAGTGTGCTGAATCGTCGACACATCAACGGGACTCCACAGGAACAACACGATTGAGGAAGAACTCTAACTTTGTAATATATTTTCATTAACATACCGTCGAACTTCAGTCAAACATTTTTTAGTTGTTTTAGATATAACTATTATTCTATGTCTTAAAGTTTCCATGTTTTTAAATGTTGTATATATCGAAATAAAACCTTTGTTACCGATAACAATTTGTATTTATTTATACATTTTTCTTTCCTAAAATCATATACAATTCAAAGAATTTGAAAGATGATATAGATATAAATATGCATGAATATAACCAACAGTCGTCTAAACATTTTTTAAATAAAAATTTTCCTGGAAACAATGGCCATTTTAAGTACTCTATTCACTGAAAAAACAAAAAACAAAACATAATTATAAAAAAAGTTTTTATTTACAATTTAAGCAGCGTTAAGTTGCGTCCTTAGAATCAGAGTGACTAAACTCTTTTATATATGAAAGCCTTGCTTGTTATTAACTTTACGATCTTAATATATCTGAATGGACAATAATTTTAAACACATAAAAGACGTGTCCCAATACGCTCGATCAATTTGGTGTCTTTAAACTTGCATGCTATTTTACATGTGTCTCCAGCCGCCTAGTAGTTTACAACAAGAACAAGTAAGTTAATAACTCAAACTTGATGTCTTCAGTGGTGATATTCTATATACTAAAAGCCACAAGAAAATTGGAAACTGAAGTTAAGTTGTTAGTAAAGAGTCCGAACAATAAAATATTTCAGAAATGAACTATTGTCGGAAATAATAAAATTTTATGTTTGTTTGAAGTTAAGCAGAAAGTTACACAATGGGCTATATGTGCTCTACCCACCACGGGTATCGAAACCCGGATTCTAGCGTTGTAAGTCCGCAGACATACCGCTGGGCTACTGGAGAGTAAACTTTTATGTCGAAGGAGGTAAACAAGCATCAGTTAAAGTACCTAATCATAACCCTTTCATTCATATGATTTAGCAATTCCGGCCAACTGAGAAGGATGTATACATATATATATATATGTGTGTATACAAAGGTTGAGTACATTATATCAAAATGATTTTGGATCCTCATCAAGTCATTTCACGTTGGCACGTCCGGTCGTAGTCTATGTGACGATCGTGCATCTTGACAATTGCCCTGCAGCGTAATTTCTGTTTTAAATGGCTATGATGTAAGGCTATCGTGTGCATAGCACACCGTATCGACCAGCATATTTTCCATAATGCGTCTAGTGTAGGAGAACGACGACGGTTTCGCAGCTCTCATTTGAACAGTCCGATTGCACAGAAATCAGTTGGCGCTTTGTCAGGCGAGTTGACCGGAATGTTTTTGGTATGGAATAGCATGAAGTTTCGTTTTATTCTCCAGCTAAACGAGGCCTGTATACGGCGGTTGATATAATATGTTGCGAAAGCAATTTGTTTACACAGGACTTGTGTCGTTTTCCGATACGGAGATCCTTCTTGATTGTGTTACATACTGTTGCCTTGGAAACGTGGACGGCCGTTGCCACTAACCTTTGTGTTAATGGATTTTCTCCTGTTATAATACGCCTCACTTTGGTTACTGGAGCTGGGTTACAGCCTACTTTAGGTCTATTTGTATATATATATACACACGAACACACAACGTTCGCAAATCATGATCTTTTTAATATATAGTAATGTCTAAATTACATTTGACTGTACGGTGCGTGGTAACTGAAGGCCACCTATATCGGAAAAACTAAAGGAAATTCTTCTATCCACATCCACGAACACATGTGGGTGTCACTTTAGATCCTTTTAAGTCCACCCAATTCAGTGATCCGAAATAACAGATATGAAACTGGATTCACTATTATATCTATTGCTAATTCCGACCTCGAAATGTTAATCAAACAAAGTCTATCCAAAACGTAAATCTCCCCATTTTAGATATAACACAGTCTTATTTACACTTACTTACTTTAAAGTAACGTATTCAATAAAATGGTATTTTAATAAGTGACAATATAAAAAGAATATTTATTTAAAAAATTTAATGTTTTAAATTTATTTCCTCTATTCATATTGTTTCTAGATAGTCAATAGAACTGTAGGTTAAATTTATTGTTGTTCTTGCTTCAAGCGATTATACTATCTTTCATTTTGTATTTTCTATTGTGCCTAATTTTCGCTAGTTTCTTACGTCTGATGATGACCTAAGTAAATATAGTTTCATACTGTTACGACAGCGGAAGTCACGTGACGCTGCTGGCGCATTGGCGCTGGTGGCGTGTGCGAGGAGTTTCTCGAATGATCGTGAATTTCCTAGTGAGTTCGGGACGCCCCCTTTTTTAGTATATAACCCTGGCAGATAAAGCCTGCGGGGGCAGATAGATAGAAAGAGATAAGCAGATAGAGTGAAGATAGAGATAATTGAGTCAAGCGAACAGTAGGCACCGTAAGTAAAGTGTGTGAATCA